CCGTAATGTTGTAGTTTCCTGATTAATGTATCATGATGAACACAATCGAAAGCCTTGGAAAGGTCACAGAAAATACCTAAGGCATCTTGTGAATTCTCCCAGGCATTAAAAATATATTTCATAAGCTCAACACCGGCGTCAGACGTCGAGCGACCCCTTGTAAAACCAAATTGATTTTTATGAAGTAATTTATTTGTATTAAAAAAAATTAACAATTGATCCAAAATTATTTTTTCAAAAATTTTACTGAGAGTTGGTAGTACAGAAATAGGTCTATAATTAGCGGGGTCCAATGTACTACCAGATTTAAATAAAGGTATTACTTTACTATACTTCATTAAATCAGGAAACACACCAGAATCGATACAAGTATTAAAAATAATAGCAAGATGAGGTGCAATTAAATCTATTATGGACGCAATCACTGTAACGGAAATCCCCCACAAATCTGCGGTTTTCTTTACATCAATCGTTTTGAAGTATTTTACAATATTATGCGGTAATACTTTTTCAAATCTAAATTCTTTTAAACAGGTATTAACATTCTGTTTAAGTAATGATTCGGCGACAGTTGGAGAAGCATTCAATGACTCTGTTGTCAAGATAGGAACATCAGTGAAATATTTCTCAAACACCGCTGCAACTTCTTGATTTGATTTAGTCAATTCATTATTAATTTTTAATTGATAGTTTGAATTACGAGGTTTCTCTTTACCGGTTTCGCTGTTAATTATACTCCACGTCATTTTAATTTTATTCTTAGCTGTCTTAATTTTGTTACTAATATGTAATGATTTGGCTGTGGAGCAAACTCTTTTAAACATTTTAGAATAATTTTTTACATATTCTTTAAAAGCATCGGAAAGATTATACGATCTTTCATGGTAAAGGTCATATAACCTTCGTCTGCTTTTATGAATTCCTACTGTCGCCCACTCATTAAATGCCTTGCGACTGTTTCTGGAGAATGTTTTAGAAGTGAATGTTTTATTAAATTCATTGTTTATAAAGGTAAATAATTCTCTATATAAATAGTCTGCATTGTTCTTATAAGAAAGGGATGGAAGGATTTTTAACATATTACTTCTAAATCTCTCCAGGCGTTTTGCATTAATAGGAACAAACACAATTTTCTCATTTACCTGTTTTTTGTGCATATAAGGTAACGAAACCAGTTGTCCACAGTGATCTGAACTAAGTTTTTGTATTATTGATTTGTTGATTGGTACAACACCTGTAAAAATATTATCAATACAAGTTGCACTACACCCTGCAATACGTGTAGCTTCAAAGAATAAATTATTAAGATTATAGGATTTGAACAAAGAACATAATTTAATACTGATGGAAGAAGTTTCCAGGAGATTGATATTAAAGTCTCCACACACTACAAGAGATTTATTCTGTTTATTAAGCTTAACTAAAACTTCTTCCATAATTTTTTCAAAAGTATCATAACTTGAACATGGGGGTCTGTAAACACTGACAACAATAAGGTGCTCAAGCTCAACACATGCCATTTCTACAGTACGCTCAACAGAGAGGCTCACAATGTCTTTACGTTCTTTACATGATAAGGACTTATTAGCTAATATTAAGGAGCCACCACGTAATTTAGTATCTCTATTGAACGAACTGACCACCTGGTGATTACTGAAATTAAATATGGAGTTGTATTCTTTCAACCAATGTTCTGTAATACATAAAATATTTATACTGTTACTATTTAAAAATAAATCAATTTCTAATTCTTTGCCTAACATACCTTGTATATTTTGATGCACCAGGTTGATACAGTTTTTATTATTGTTATTTTGTAAAATTGCATAATTATGTATTGGTAAGTTGCATTCTAAGCTATTTAAATTATCTTTGCTAGAGATTACCTCTATTGTCTTATTATCTAATTTAAATTACTTGGAACTGGTTCCAAATCAAATATAAAATTATTTTGTTGCTCAAAAGAAGCAGGTGTCAAGGTAGCCAAATCATTGGCTGAGTTAAAATATAAATAATAAGATAGCGTATTTGCTACCAGTCTTAAACTATATTTTGATAGGTAATACCTATCTCTTGTCAAAAACTTCTTAATTAAATTATTAATATCAATTAAATGAAATTTATCATTATTATTCTTACAATTAAATGTCAAATTTAAGTTATTATTACATGTCAAGTTATGCATCATTAAATTTAAATTATGTCTTAGTTTATTTTCCTGTGGCCACCCCTCTATGTAAGGCAATGTAAACAAGATAACTTTAACCACATTTATGTTATTGAGATATTCAATATATTTTAATAATTGATTCTTGTTCATATTGCCTCTTCTCCCCACAAAAATTATTAATATACTATTAGGGTTAAATTTACTAGTTAAAATTTTATTCATAATATCACTGAATGATGCTCCAGGCATGCAGTAATTACTTATCTGTTGCCTTTTTAAACAGTTATTCAATGATATACCCAAGTTTTTGCCTATGTCATCACTATACACAATTATATTATTTTTTTCATTATATGAATTACTTTTTAAATTTATCTGCTTTGTTATGGTACTATCATAGAGTGTAGGTAAAGAAAATGAAGTATTACTGCTTGTCATATTATTAACACACACTGTCCCTAAAGAACCTGGCAGTGAGCGCTGATATTCATTTTGATATTTTAATAAGGAGTCAAAACGTTCCTCGTTATATTTGCAGGACTTTACCAGATTATCCATGGCCAGTATGTGTTCTTTTATCTCATTCCCTGCAGATTTATATTTATTTGACATAATTTGTAATGAGGTTTGAAGTGATAAAATTTGTGAATTAAGACACTCTATTTCAGTCTCATAACAATTTTTCATGTTTTCCACCTCAATTGAATATAATTTAATTTTACTAATTAACTCTTGCTTTTCCTTACATACATTTGTATAATTTTTAATATTAATTTTAGTTTTAATTAATTTTTGCACTTTCCTAATATATTTATTAATTTTTATATATTTTTTTAATTTCCTTCTGCTGCTTGTAATCCTTTCTGCTGTTCTTGATGTGGTAGAATCATCAGTCAAATCTATTGTTGTGGAGGGTTGCAACGTTTTATGAAATTTACATTCTACGAGCTCCTCGAACAGACTCTGAGTTTTAAGTGCATGCAAGTTATCAATGTTTTGTTTAAATTGTGAAATTTGCTCATTAGCTTCAGTTAATTGTAATTTCAATGCAGCAATTAATCTGAGGGATTCCTCATATTCTTTGCTGCATCGGTCAAACTCATCGACTGTCCTCTGGAGCTGATCCCTTTCCTTTAAAATATCTGTATAGTCTCTATGTAACTTAACCATATCACTTTTCAATTGAGTATTTTTCGAAATTATACTTATTATTTCCTTTTCGTTGTCATCCCTTTCTTTAAGTAACAGCTCGCACTGCTCCCTGGACGCTCTCAGTTCTTGGAGCGCAAGATGGAGTTGGTTCTCCATCTGGCGCGTTTTGGCGTTACGAGTATTCATTTTACTATGTATTTTAAATAGTAAAAGAAAACAAAGATGGAAAATCAAGGGAACAGAGTAAGCAAATATCCAATTATAGGACTCTAATTACAGATCTCAAATTAAATTATCAAGAAGATGGTAAGTGACTACCGCCGCCCATGAACAACTGCAACACCAGGGGAATCGCAGATGCGTTGCCGGCCTTTTAAAAAGGAGTACGCTCTTTTCTTGAAGGTCCCTAAGTCGTATCGGTCCGGAAAAATCGCTGATGGTAATCGATTCCACAAGGAGGTCGTGCGAGGAAGAAAACATCTTCTAAATCGCACAGTGGTGGATCGCCAATCATCCAGATGGTGTGGATGGTATCGGGAGTTCTGCCGCGATGTGCGTTCGTGAAATTTGGCGGCTGGGATTAATCCGAACAATTCCTCAGAGCACTCCCCATGGTAGATGCGAAAGAAAATGCAAAGGGATGCAACATCTCTTCGCAGTGCCAATGAATCGAGCCGATCGGAAAGGGCTCGGTCGTCGACAATTGGAGCCGCTCTGCGTTGGATGCGGTCAAGTGGAAGGAGCTGGCACTGGGGAGCCCCTGCCCAGGGATGGGAACAGTATTCCATGTGAGGCCGAACTTGCGCCTTGTAAAGTAGCAGGCGGTGTGCCGGCATGAAATACTGTCCCGCTCTGCTGAGCACGCCAAGCTTTTTAGAGGCCAATTTGGCCTTCCCTTCCAAGTGACCACGAAACTGCACGTCACTCGATATGTCGACTCCGAGGATACCGATACTGGCTGAGGCAAGAAGGGGAGTGCCTTGAAACTGAGGAGATACGACAAAGGGGTTCTTTTTAGCGGTAAACGCGCAAGCTTATGTCTTCTGAGGATTAAATTGGACTAGATTTAGTCGCCCCCAATCCGAGACTTTGTTCAGCAAAGACTCGACTTCAGACACAAGTTTGTTCCGGTACTCAGCGACGTTTTCCCGAGAAATATTGGCACGGCCGGTGTATAGAGCATCACCAGTGCTGCCATCCGCATAGCAATGAATGTTACCAGTTAGCAACATATCATTGATATGCAGAAGAAACAGCGTTGGTGATAGCACACAGCCTTGTGGAACACCAGCGTTAATAGGCTTGTAGTCAGAGCATGCACCGTCCACAACGACCTTGATGCTCCGATCTTGATCTGATTTATCGGCCGATAACTAATTGTTATAGTATGCGCACTTGCATACATCTTAATAGGTACCTACTGATTAAGAAACTGACTAAAGTCTGCAGTATTCGGTGTCTCTAACTCTAAAGAATAGTAGAAGAACTAACTCTGAGAAAATAAGATAAATATAAGTATAGACATGTAATTTCGTTTCATAAACACTGCTATGACAAAATTACATCATAGCTCGGTTATGGGCTTGGATAAGTTTCCTTTTTGTTATTATATAAAAAGTAAATTATTTAGTAAGTGGATATGTTATACATTATGTAATAGAAATTTTTATGATTCCAGAACACGAGGTGAAAACTCTCGTAAACGATGTGTATGCCATTGTGGCGGGTCTGCCGCTTCCCTTCCTCGGTGTCACCGGTGCTAGTGCCTGTGCTCATGTGACCAGAAGCAGTGACGGTTCCCCGGTGTCCTGTCCCCTTGCCGCTGGAGAAGAATATACCTACTCCAACGTCTTCCCGATCGAGTCCTATTACCCCAACGTAGATTTAAGAGTACATTGGGCGCTTCTAGATGGCAAAAAGAATGTTATTTGCTTTGAAGTACCCGCTGTCATCACGCCAGCGAGGAGAAATTGATTTTATTTTCTAAGTGTTTCAATGCTTTATTTTGTATCAATGTATTCAAATAATTGTATGTTTAGTTTTTAAAAAGAGAATGAAATTAAATAATAAGGTTTCAAAAAATATTTTATTGAATTCATTAATTTAAAGATACATTTATACAAATGTTCTAAAATGATAATTGTAGAATGAATTTGTTTTAATTACTGTGTTATTGCAAAACTCGAAAACTAATGTACTGGTGATTTTATATTTATAGTTTGTTGCCAAATAAGTGATTTTGATTAAAAAAATTGTCTGTGTTTGAGTGCGTCCCTGCATGTTTTAGATTCACAATCGGACGTGGTTATGCAAAAAGGATAAAGCTAATTTGAGGTTATGAAATTTGAAGAATGGATCTGTATGGCTTGTGTGTGTATGTTTGTAATTTTTCTTCTTATTTGTGTTACTTTCCCTAAAATTGTTGCATCACATAATAGTATAGACCACAAATATTATTTTTCAACTGAACATTTTTGACACAAATTACATTGGATCCTTTTTGCGTAACTATGTCCAATTAGACCCAGTAAGTGGCGATGTTGCCGAGATCCAGAAATCACCCGTGCGAAGTCGAGGCGAATCGATAGTAAGATATATTTTTGGAAGTACAATTGAGATTCTGACTAAACATCGTGATTATATTCTCTTTGATTCTGACATTTTAACGTCACATTTGGCCAAAATCACCTAGATATTCCTTATCTTACCGTATAGCTAACACCGTCACAGATTTATTTTGTAAAACATAACTTTAATTTATCACTTAAATATATTGTCTTTCATAATACCCACCTTAGCTGTACTTATACATAAAAATATATATTTATCTAACAATTTTCGATGGCACTTCAAAACAAACTATTTCTCCGTCCGGAGATTTTAGCGCCCAATGGACATTAACTTCGATGGTAGGATAGAAACTAAGAATAGGAAACGAATCCTTGTACAGGTACTTGTTGCCAGCTTTAAGCGGGCACTCTGCCTTCTCTCCACTTTCAGTGAACATTTTATCGCAAATAGAATTGCCGTCGACGCCAACGAATGGCACCTTAACTCCTAACACTTCCGCTATTACTTCGTTCGTTATATCTTCTAAGTCGGTCTCTGCAAAAGAAAATATATGTCTAAATTAAATGTGTCTTAGGGTTAAAATTGTTACAAGAAGGAAATGACATTTGGTAATTGGTAGGAATTAAATGTTGTTTCGTATTTTGTTTTAATGGGTTTTTCAACAAGAACTTTGTTTTCTAAAACAAAATAAAACAAAGAGTTTAGATGAAGATTATTCAAATTTTTATTGTATTACGAAGAGAAAAGTTTGGCAATTATGAATGAAAAATGATATCTGGCAAATGTCCCCCACGACCACGCTGACAGATGTCGATTCTTTCATCAAAGTTTTTAATCACTTTTTGGCAAAATGGCGGGTCTATTTCGTTAATCACGTCACGGATTTTGAGTTTTAAGGCCGCGATCGATTCGATTGGCTCCGTATTATAGACTCTGTCCTTAACATAGCCCCACAAAAAATAATCCAGTGGTGTTAAATCACACGATCTGGCTGGCCATTTAACAGCTGAATTTCGTGAAATTATGCGATCGGGAAATTTGGTTTGCAATAAATTGATCGTTTCGTTGGCTGTGTGACATGTGGCACCGTCCTGTTGAAACCACATGTTTGTGATATCGATGTCATCAATAATAGGCCAAAATTGAGATGTTAACATCTCGCGATCGCGTCATCCATTGACCGTTACCGCATTTCCAGCCTACTCTTCTAAAAAAAAACGGCCCAATCACGCCTCCAGACCACATAGCGCACCATACAGTGACACGTTGAGCATGCAAAGGCTTCTCAATAATCGCTTTAGGATTTTCAGAAGCCCAAATGCGGCAATTTTGCTTGTTGACGTACCCTGACAAGTGAAAATGGGCTTCATCTGAAAAAATGATCTTTTCAGAAAAACTAGCGGGCTGTTCCTGAATGAATTGAGCGAATCTACGGCGATGTGAATGGTCGGTCAGCTTCAATTCCTGCACCAGTTAAACCTTGTAAGGCTTCAAAGCCAAATCCTTACGCAAAATTCGCCATGTGGTGGTTTTGGATAACCCCAATTGTTGAGAACGTCGAGGAATTGACAAATTTGGATCTTCTTCAACACTGTGGCTCACGGCTGCGATGTTTTCGGTTGAACGATCCAGTCGAACACGCGTTGGTGTTGGCGCATTTTGTACCGAGCCTGTCGATTCAAATTTAGCGACCAAATTCTTAATAGCGGTCTCTCAGAAGGACGATTATGTTGTCCGAAAATATCACGAATTTTACGAAACCTAACTTTAACAGAACCACCATTTTCATAGTGGATTTTAATTATTTTAATGCGATTTTCAAGCGAAATTGAATTCATTGTAGCAATTGCCAAAGCATCTACTACGAATAGGTCAAAAAACTAAATGTCAAAACTGTCATGTTTTTGGTGTTGCCCCAATTGAAAAACAAAGTTCTTGTTGAAAAACCCGGTATTACTGCACTAAAATAGGGAGCGTAAATAGATCATTATCATTTGGTTCCGTGGGTGGCACCAATGGAAAAATATTTTCGATTATTTTAGACAGAATTACTTAGTTATATGACGGTATAAGCTTGTTTATGCTAGACGTAAAATCTGGGCGTTTTCAAGGCAAGAGTAAATAGGCTTTTGTTATATTAATACAGTGCGATTTACCATCTAGGGCTTCATCACCACCAGGTGGGATTGTGACTGGCTTATAATTTAAGAAAAAAGTAAAAAAAATATCAAGAACATTTTTACGAAGTCAGAGGAGACAGGAAATATGGCACGCTGCTTAGTGGACTGTCGTCGAATGAACGTTGTAAGTATAGTTCTTTTTTTTAACCGACTTCAAAAAAGGAGGAGGTTCTCAATTCGACTGTTTTTTATGTGTGTTACCTCAGAACTTTTTTCTAAGAGAACCGATTTTAATGATTCTTTTTTTATTTGAAAGCCTTTGCTTCTCATGTGGTCCCATATAACTTTTATAAAGATCTGACCAGTAGTTTTTGAGTTATCTTTAATAATGTGTATTTAATTGACTTCAACCACATCGATGATGTTCTCATTTTATTTATATTGAAGTCGGTTGTATAAATTTTTTAATTTTACCATTTGTTTCTTGCACCATTACAGTAATTAAAGTATCTCCTGGAGGTAAATGATCACTGCAGTACGTGAACTCATAGTCTCGAGACTAAAATCGAAAGCCTTACAACCTGTTCTTATTCTGACTATCCGTTGCGTCACGATGGTAATGTACAGGAATTTTGCAGCAGAAATCGGTGAGAGAATGGTTCTCTAACTCAATCATACTCCTATGCAGACAAGTGGTAAAATAAAAATTTTGTACAACCGAATTCAATATAAATATTTTTTTATAGGATAACGGTGACAAACGAGCACACAGTCCACCTGATGGTAAGTGGTTGCTGTGGCCCATAGACATCTACATTTATCCTCAATTACGTATCAAAATGACTAAGATGGAATGCCTCAGTTTCCAGTAAAAAGGGTCTCCGGTTCTCTACACTCACCATACGAAACACAGCAGCATTAAGCTGCTATTTTACACTGGTATTCAATGAGAGCGTGGTCCTTCCCCGGTCGAGCTGACCCATTCGTGTTACAACTATACCAGAAATATAGCTGCAGCATGGCTCTACCACGTATAAAAATATCATTCATATCATTATCAACAATAAATATAATTTATTGTAGATTTTTAAAAAACCGCTCGACCGATTTCGATAACATTTAAATGAGACCATCCTTTGAAACAAAAAAGAATTTTCCAAATCGTTCCGGCGTCTTCGAGTAATCGGTGAACATACATAAAAAAAGAAGATTCCGACGAATTTGAGAACCTCCTCCTTTTTTGAAGTTGGTTGAAAAGCAAGAAAGAAGTCCTGTCTCCTATTTCCAGAGTGATTCCACGATGGTGATGTTTGGTGATAACTTAAAGTTCTTTGCCGCCGAGTACAAGGTAAATCATTAACAGTGTTTTTGATATCGACATTGGGAGAACGAGTTGCTCAACTTGTTCATTTTATTACTGTAAAATATTATATAAAACATGACTCAGGAAAATATCACGCTTGAATACAAACGATATATTTGTCGCATTATATTATGTAAATGAACGTAATTATTATTCTATGAGAGGAGTATTGATAATGCTCACTTTAAAATATTAAGTACCTAGTTATAAGAATAGAGCCGACTGCGGTACTTTGACCGCGTTGCTTACAGACATCACTAAACACGTTGTGCTTATAAAAATCGTTGTTTCTTATAACTTTAATAACTTTATATTAAATGAAGATACCGCAATAAGTTTCTTAGATAAAGGCCTAGTGTCTAATCAATAAAACTTAGAAAATCAAAGTTTTATTGCTTAGACACTAGGCCCGAAATTAAGCCAGTAGTTTATCCGTGATGTGCGCACAACTGCAAACCTCTATTATGTTATTTATATAGATTTATTAAATAAAACTAGGTTTACGTAATGTTGGTTGCTTGTGGTTGCTGTTTGAATTTGAATTTGAATAGATATAGTAAAGACCGAAAAATAATTAAAATAACTATAGCTACGAACTTGGTCAAAAATATGAAAACATTTATAAGGTACGTGAGGGTAATATGGTCACCTTAAGCTTTGCCGCCCTATACAACTAAAACTCGGAGGAAGACAAAGACAAAAACACAAAGTCTGACAAAGTCGTATAGTATGTATAACTAATATATTAAGAAAAAAATAGCAAACAAGTTTGGCAATTATTAAGAACACTACGAAAACTCAACTTAAAAAAAAAAGTACACTACACAATACTAAAATCGACAAAAATATATTTACCATAATGTTAACTGTCACAATGGCGTCGATATAGCAGCACCCGTTTCACCTTTTGGTTATTTTCTCTTTGCCTTTTATCATAGAGATACGAGTATAGATATACCTATACTTTTAAGTCAGTGCCTCTTATTACTTGATCGACTGATGAAGAGGTTCTATGCAAACAAGCCTGTAGTTTTTGAGTTATAATAAAGTGACTATGGATCGATCAACTATTTTTTGTCCTATCAGAATTATTAAAAAGAAAATATATATTGTTTCACTTTTAGTTTTCAAGTTTATTGAAAGATAGATAATTTATCAAATTTTTAAATTTCACATCCAGCAGCACACAATTAAGACTAAAATTGGATTTTTAACAAAAAAAAAACCTGATAACTAGGCAATAAATCGGTCATTTGGACAACCACAGGTTATAATTTATAACTGCTATAATAAAGGTTAAAATTTAAAATAAACAGTATAGTTGTGTATTTCTACATTAAATATTATCCTAGAGCATTGAATTATGAGTACGGTATTGACTATCCTCAATTTAAAAGTAAAAAGAAGTAAAAAGCTGCCATATTCAAATGTACCGTTGTAAAATAACTTTTACTTTTCAAAAACTTCAACGTTACAGGGAAACTTGTAATATACCTTACCTCTTTTGTACTCTACATCTGGATTTGGCAGTTTTTTTATGATATTTTCATACGCGACATACGAAATGTCTTTTTAAATAAGTTTTCCTCGTTTGACAGCTCTTAGAAATGTGACTAATCTCACCATCATCTTCGATGTCACTTTGAGCAACACAAAAATATGAATACAATTTTCCTTTGGCACCGTAAACCTTGACTAGCAAATAATCTCTGCGTCCTCGTAAATTATTTTGTTGTCCTGATGTAGATGGTCGCTGTTCTTCGCATCCTCCAGGTAAATCGTATGTTGGTAAGTTATCATTTTGTCTTGATGCATAATGTCCACTAATTACAACACAAAACTACAAATTTTGGTAGGTTGTCATATAGTTCTGATGTCAGCTGATCCTCATAATTCCGAAGTATGTTGTTAGTTTGTTCCAATGGATATTGCTCACCTTCAGAATCTCTTAATCCAGGTAAGATATTGTGAGCTTCATTATAATAGTTCTGTTGAGAGAAAGATTGCAGCTCTTCTTCGTCTGTATTGTTTTCAGAGGTATCTGAAGAACC